GTTTATCACAACATGTTACTGTTCGTCTACGCTGCTGTCATCCTCTGCCTCCTCGTTAGATGCATGTTGTTGTTCTTGGTTGTTTACTGCATCTGGTTGCACCTCCTCTTGAGGATCCTGCCATTGACCTGCAGACATACAAACAAAATGTATTGTCAATTGTGACAGTAAAGGATTTATTCCATCTAATGTCACCAACACACATGAATAAAACATAACCAACGTACCATCCCTGGCAAAGATGAGCTCCAGTTCTAATTTCTTTGTCGTTTGAGTTCTTTGACTCTGTTTTACAAGCTACAGATATGCATTTTCAATGCTTCCACTTTTTTGTCAGCACTGTTTTTTTTGCCTTACAGTACGGATAAGGCCGTCCAGTGCATATCCATGACCTGTTAGCACTTTCTGATAAATGGTGTCTTTTGTCATAGATGGATCTATGACAGCATACTATGAACAAACAAACAAAAGTAAATATTAATAATACATAAAGTTATTGGAACTGTTGATCATCCACACTGAATAAATTCTTTAATAATCCAAGTCTTTACTTTGTACCTACCATCATATATTTACAGTAATGTTTACCCAAATCAAAGGAGATAAATCAATAGAACTTCACTAATGTAGTATTAAACATACATGCAAAATGTGACATTGTAATTGTTCATCACCATAACCACAGTTATAGCGGAATATTGCTGTCTGAGTTTATCGTGTCATTATTGCCTGTAAAACTGTAAATATTAAATGACCTTAATCAGCACTGGACACCGCAAATCTCTCTGTAGTAACTAAAGGTAGTTCATCCATCAGCTGACATGGCAGTTATTTAAGCTTTAGATAATGGAGACATAGTATAGCAACATCATTGCACACATTATTGTGACAACTACAAATGAACAATATAGTTTTTTAAATACTGTGATAATAAAACCCCTATAAAACAGAAACGCATTTAATACTTACAGAAGACATCTGGAGCTGATGCCTGACGTCTTCAACAACATTTTCGGCCATTGTTGGGAATTTGCTTGGTGAGTTGTATCTTGCCATGTTCTGTAAAACAACATAAAACCGTAAATAGGCTAACCTACTAATGCATACTATCAGCAACGTTGAATACAGAGGGAAAACATTGCCATTTACTTTCTCACACGAACATAAAATACAGATCACGGAAAACACAAATGCCTCTTACCTGTGATAGATCAACAATGATGACACAAAGAGTCAACAAAGAAAAGAAGTGAATCTTACCTGTGTGCTCTGCGTTTAAATAGAAGTGCGTGCGGTAATCTCGTGGTACTTGGCGAATGCACATTTCGAGTCACAAATAACAGCGAACATTATAAATATGAACTACATGTTACTAATTAATTACAAATAGCAGAAATGTGTTCATTAAATTATAAGAACCACTGTACACACCTCTGTACAATGTCAGCACAATAATTAGTAATAACTGAGTTAAATAAACACATCGCACAGTTTTCTTACTAACTGTTAAACATATTTCAAGCAACAACTTGACCATACATACTGTAAAAATAAAGGTAGCATAGAAACATATTTAACTAATTCATATTTAAATGCTGTAATTAACAATCTGTATACAGTAATA